ATATATATATATATATATATGTATTTAGATAACAGTGTGTGTGTGTGTATGTGTGAGGGTGGGGGTGGTTGGTGGGTGTTGGTATATGTATAAAACGGCACAGTCCTACTGAGTAACAGTAACGTGTCAAGATTTGCAGCAGTGCACCAACAACAGCAGTAAGACCCGTAGACTGGAGATAAAGGTGGATGTAGCCTCCATGACGTCACCCACACAAGAGTGGTGTTGAAGCTCAGAGTGAGCTGCTCCACCATCGCCGTCATCTCAGTGTCTGACTCCGCCCCTAACTCCCAGCTGATCCAAAAATGGTCAAAGAGGAGGGGTGTGTGTGGAGCCCAGACTTTGGTGCATAACAATTTGAGACAAGCATACGCTCACCCACCTGTCACTCAAAGAGGCCACGCCATCAGTTTAAGCCATAATAAAATGGGTGAGTTATATAAACAGGTGTCATGAGGGAGAAAATTAGCTTTACAGACCAAAACTGTTTTTGTACCAGGCTGTAAACATGTTTATTTCTGCTGTGAAGTTGGACATTTTAACATGGGAGTCTATGGGGACTGACATTGTCATTTGGAGTTTTGGGTTCCTCAGTGTTAGCTTCATTTTTCAGCCCCAGAGGTTGATGCTTGGGAAGAACACTACGAGTTCGGAAACATGGAGCTGGTAAACATTTTGCAAATGTTGCATGAGGAGGGAAATGCACTTGACCTGTTTATTGGACCTCAAGGACACACACAATACCGTTTTAGTGAGGGACACTGACTGGGAACATAGCTTGTGTTTGTTGTTAAGAAGAAATCCTTTGATAGTCTAAACACAAGCAGCCGTACCTAAAATTTTTATGTAAAAAGCTATCAGAAAAACAAGTATTCAAGCTCAACACCCAGCTCTCCTGGAAGTCGGATAACATCATCCATACAGTGGAGCGTCGTCGTGGCAGCATCATGTTGTGATGTAGTCAAATACAGAGAGGTCCTTGAAGAAAACCTGCTCCAAAGTCCAGGAGACCTGAGACTGAGGCGACGGTTCACCTTTCAGCACAGACAGACAGACGAGTCTACGACGGAGTATTGGGGCCACTGTAGGATAACAAAATAAAAAATAAAAAAATGATGGAGGCAGGGGAGGGGGGGGTTATATTCTGACACGCAAACCAAACTAGTAAATAGTTGTTTTCTTCTGAATAGGCCCGGTTCATTGTCTCTTCAAAGTCTGGATGTTTATG